CCTTTAGACATCTGTAGATTGAATAATCTTCGCATCAAATACACCTTGTTTATAGCCGACGGTTTTTCGTACATATTGGACAGCGCCTTCAACAGATTTGATGTTGTCTTCTCCTTGATGATGTCGAACGTCACGTTTCTGGATAGCGTCAACCGGATCAGCCTAAGGCTTGTCAATCCTTGAGCTTCCACTGCTCCATGGTTATGGTATCCAACACACCCCCAACAAGGATTCGTGAAGACCTTTCTGATACAGATAATCTTCAATCTGCATTTTCCAGAAACCGAAATCGAATCCATCGAACTTCTCAATTCAAATCTTTAAGCTTTCCATCTTCACAAACCGTGGTGAATTTTGCCTTGCTCTGATACCATTTGTTAAGATCGCACAACAACGCACACACTCGATCTAGATGAACACAAAGAATAGGATAGAGGGAATGCAAGGAGAATATTGGCTAAAGAATTTGTATTGATGACTACGTATATGTATGTAAGAGAGAATACAAAAAGTATATTTTCAAAGCTCTGTCTCAGGAGATATATATATATATGGTTCAGCTTACTATATATAGTTTTAGCATATATAACCATCTACTATATATAGCTTGTTAATACAATTTACTTTATATGTCATTTAACATATATAAGTTTATTATGTATAATGGTTGACTAAGCTATAAATAACCAGTCAGGCTCCAAACCTAATAATCATTTCATAATAGTTTGCATATACGGGCATATGACACGTGCAAAACCATAGACATGTGTCATCATACAGCACACAATTATAATCAAATCGACGATAGGGCCACTTACTTGGTTGGCCTTGTTAGGATCGCACAACAATGCACACACTCGATCTAGATGAACACAAAGAACAGGATAGAGAAAATGCAAGGAGAACTCTAGCTAAAGGATTTATATTGATGACTTCAAGTATGTACAAAGTATTCGCAAACGGGAAACTGGAGATTCATCAGGCAATGCTCTCAGTGTTGATCGAAGGGGAAGAAGTAAATCAAAGAGCTCAAACAAACATGGGCGATTAAAATCAAAGAACCGAGAAAAATCTCCAAATAGACCAAACGTAACGTGTTGGAATTGTGGAGAAAAATGTCACTTTCGGACAGGTTGTACAAGACCAAAGAGGAAGCAGAATAAAAAATCTGGAGATGATGATAATTCTATAAATTTCAATAGAAGACATTGGGGATGCTCTAATCCTTAGCATGGACGTTCGATTGAATCCTGGATTTTGGATTCAGGTGCATCTTTTCATTCGTCTCCAAATAAAGAGTTGTTTCGGAATTTCAAGTCTGGAAATTTCGAGAAGGTGTATCTTGCCAACAACAAAGATTTGGAGATTAAAGAAAAAGAAGATGTCTGCATAAAAACTCCAGCAGGAAATTAGTGGACATTGATGGTACCACGTGGCTTAAAATCTGGAACCTTATACACCACTGCAGGGTGTATGAACATAGCTGCTGTTGTTGAGAGTGCTTCAAATTCAAGTCTATGGCACAATAGACTTGGACATATGAGCGTGAAAGGAATGAAGATGCTGGCTGCGAAAGGAGTTTTAGAAGGTCTGAAATCTGTTGATGTGGGTCATTGTGAGAACTACGTTATGAACAAGCAGGAACGAGTTAGCTTCACAAGGACTTGGAAATGGAACCAGACATCGAGCAAGGTTCGAAGACAACGAAGCAAGTGGGAGTTGAGCTTGAGTTGTAGGAAACTCACTTAGTGATGTTGTAGCAGATACTCATGAAACTCCTGAGACTATTGTTGAAGAACTAGAGGTGGAGCAAGGTTCCAAAACCACGAAGCAAGTAGAAGTTGAGGTTGAGTTGCAGAGAAACTCACTTAGTGATGTTGTAGCATATACTCATGAAACTCCTGAGTTTATTGCTGAGGAACCAGATATGGAGCAAAGTTCCAAGACCACGAGGCAAGTGGGAGTTGAGCTTGAGTTGCAGGAAAACTCACTTAGTGATGTTGCAGCAGATACTCATGAAACTCCTGAGACTATTGCTGAGGAACCAGATGTGGAGCAAGGTTCCAAGACCATGAAGCAAGTGGGAGTTGAGCTTGAGTTGCATGAAAACTCACCTAGTGATGTTTAGCAGATACTCATGAAACTCCTGAGACTAATGCCGAGGAACCAGAAGTGGAGCAAGGTTCCAAGACCACGAAGCAAGTGGGAGTTGAGCTTGAGTTGCAAGAAAACTCACCTAGTGATGTTGTAGCAAATACACATGAAACTCCTAAGACTACTGCAAAGGAATCAGTAATGGAGCAAGTGACACCTGAACTGGTGTTGAGAAGATTATCCAGTACTATCAGAGTACTAGATATGTATGTACCTTCATTACACTATCTGTTGCTGATGAAAGGGAATCACAACCCTTTGAGGAGGCCCTACAGTTGGAGGATACAACCAAGTAGGAGCAAGCCATGGATGATGGGACGTCTAGGCTTCAAAAATGCGTTGTACTGAGGCTGAGTACGTGGCAATAGCTGAAGCTGGAAAGAAGACGATATGGATTACTAACTATCTGGAAGATTGATCAAGAAGCAGCACGAAAAGATTCTTTATAGAGATAGTCAGAGTGTCATACAGCTGGTGAGGAACCTGGTCTATCATTTAAAGATAAAACACAAAAGGCGATACCATTTCACTTGCAGGTTAGTGGAAGATGGTGATGTGTTTTGAGAAGATAGAGGGTGCAAAGAATCCAGCAAACATGTTGACAAAATGAGTTGATGTTGGAATATTGAGGTTGTGCAAAACCTCAATTGGTATGGTGCAGTGAAAATATTCATTATTGTTTGAGAATGAAATTCTTGGTTTACTCGATCAGTCTCCAAGTAGGAGAATTGTTAGGTTATGGAGACTGCTGCTTATTTATAGCTGAGTCAACGGTTATACATAGTAAAGTTATATTTGGTAAATCACATATAAAGTAAATTGTCATAAATAGTAAATAGCTATGTATAGTAAAAAGCTCTATACCAGTTGTTAGGATCGATACCCGTTGTTAGCTTTGATACCAGTTGTTAGGATCGCACAACAACGCACACACTCGATCTAGATGAACACAAAGAACAGGATAGAGAAAATGCAAGGAGAACTCTGGCTAAAGACTTTCTATTCTCTGTATTCTCTCTTACTATACATATTTGAAGTCATCAATATATAAATCCTTTAGCCAGAGTTCTCCTTGCAATTTTCTCTATCCTGTTCTTTGTGTTCATCTAGATCGAGTGCGTGTGTTGTTGTGCGATTCTAACAATTGGTATCAGAGCTAACAACTGGTATCGATCCTAACAGGCCTTTGCCAGCCTTTTCCCTAAGTTCGAGTACGTTCGCATCCCGTTACTCAAAATTGCTCTAAATATCGTCAGTTGTCATTTCCTATTAGAAATTCTATCCCGTTTCCTTAGTAACTCAAATTCTTTAACTCCATTTAACTTAAATCGAGAAATTTAACCTTATACTGACATTAATTGCCTTAAACAAGGTCAACTTCAGCTTTGGGATGGTCGAAACGGAAGAAAATGGTTTATTTTTCCTTTACCGAGCTAAGGGACTGAGTTTTGAGCTGCAGAATCAAGCCGAGCCGAGCTACGGACTTCATCTTCCTCACCCTTCTCACGATTTTTCATTTCATTTTTCTCTCTCCTCCAGAAGACGTTCGTTTCTGCTCTTCATTGTGTCTCTGTATAGATCTGTCTTTGTTCTCTTCCCTATGACTTGTTCTCTTGTTTCCATGGCGTTTGACGCGTTCGAAGACTTGTAGAACCAAATCCGACGTTACCTTCCTTTTTATCCCTTAACATCACTCTCCATCGGCGAATAAGGAAATTCAATGAGTACTATGAGTGTAAGCATCTTACCTTGAGTGCACTCAGAGTCACTAGCGTCTCGTGCTTCTCTCGTCGTGTGTTAAATATGTTTCTTCCCTTTTGCCAGAAAATTTAGACTCTCTCTCTCTCTCTCCCCTGCTCCTTCTCTTTTCCCTTGCATGTGGGCTTCTGGAGTGGGGCAGGAGGTCGTTTGGCTCGTTTTGGCGCAACGTGAGGGTTTGGAAGAGCATGTCTGAGAGGTGGGAACAAGAATTACATCGCTCGCCGGAATTCTCGTGAGTCTTTGGCAGCCACACATTATTTTTTTATTGTGGCCGTTATACATCCGATATGTTTTTGCCTAACCCTTGTAATCTCTAGCATAATCACCCTTAATGTCATAAATGTCCTATAAAAGGTTCCAAAACCTTTGGAGTCCTTTGCGCTCGTGAAAACATCGTAGAATTCTTATAATGTTATTCTAGTTATTTCCACCCTTAAATCTTGGTTTAAATCCTTAACATAATCAAATGGTATCAAATTCTAGTAAGATGTGGTTCGAGAATGAGCTAAAGTGGAAGTTTGTGGACATGTGACACCCGAGTAAATGAGGGGTATATGAATGAACCGATGCCATATCCAAATGATAACGATCTTGAAGATAGGATGACTAAAAAAGATTTAAAGGAAATAAATGTTACTACGCCTACCTTTTCAGTGGCTCAACCGTAAGAACCTTATAGTTAAGCATGATTTACATTGGGACAATCTATGCTGGGTCAATCTATGTTGAATGAATCGAGATCATATTCGGATGAGAACTATCCTGAAGATAGAATGGCCAAAGAGGCTTAAAAGAATCGAAAATTAGTATTTATTCTAACAAGATAAATTTTCTTTTCTATCGGCTCTATCGGCTCAATCACAGGAACTTCAAAGTTAAGCGTGTTTTGCTTTTAACAATTATATGTTGGGTGATTTCTTACCGATTTTTCTACGAAGCATGTGAGTAAGGATGTGAGTAAGGACAACCCAGATTGAAATAACTTGTGTTGGTCCGTAAAAATACTTGTCAATCTTAGAAGTGATGAGTAGCAACGTGTGATAAATTCACATTCCTAATCTTATAAGAGATCATATAGAAGAACATTTATGAAGCTATAAAGTCTTATTAATATAACTTGTGAATTCTAAATCGCTACCTCCTCATATTTGTCACAAAATAAATTAAAACATAAAATAAAACACATTTTCCCTACGACTTCATAAGATAAACACAAACCTCAATTTAAGACCTGGGAATTATGTTGGCTTTCAGAGGCTTCTCCATCACCACCGTGAACTCCACCTTCTCCGACAGATCGACGCCGTCGCCCTCCACCGCCTTCCATTCAAACCTCCAAACCAGATTGGCTATGAAATACTCCAAATGAAGAATTGCCAGACCGAATCCTGGGCACATCCTCCTCCCTGCGCCGAACGGCATCATCTTTATCTCCTTGCTCCCTGTTATATCAAACCCCGCCACTTCTTCTTCTTCCCCGCCCTTCATGAACCTCTCCGGCTTGAACGCCATCGGATCTTCCCACACTTCCGGATCCCAACCCATCTCCGCCACCATGAAATTTACAGTTCCGTTCTTTGGTATCACGTAATTCTCCAACATCGTGTCATCTTTCACTGCGTGTGGTAACACGAAATGCCCTGGTGGGTGTCTTCTTAATCCTTCCAAAACCACAGCTTTCAGATATGGAAGCTTCCCCAAATCCTCTTCCTTCACCTCCTCCCCCGTTCCATCTCCCATTACTCCTTTCATCTCAGCAAAAAGCTTGTGTTGGATTTCTGGGTATTTCACCAAATTCGCCATTATCCATTGCAGGGCCGTGGACGTGGTGTCGGTGCCCGCGTTGAGGAATTCAGAGGCTAGTGTGGACATTTCTTCATCTGTAAGCTTTCTCTTCTCGTCTGGGTGCTCCAAATCGAGAAGGGTATCCACATATGACACCACGAATTCTTCTTTTTCTTCTTCAGCTTCGGCTCTGTTTGCTCTGTTTTCTCTGTTTTCTCTGTTTTGGATGGCCTTCCTTCTTGCTTCGATTAAAGGGATGGTGACTTCATCTCGATTCCTCTTGAGTTCATGAAACGTCTCCCAGCGCTTTCGGAGGAAAATCTTGGTCAATTTGGGCCAGAAATTGAGAGCGTTGAAAAGCCCAAGGTTTACCAGCATCTTACGCTGCACGTTCTCAATTTCCTTGATCTGGGATTCCTCAAGCTTGTCTCCAAAGCACATCAACACCAACAAACAAAACATAGCATACTGAAAATGATCCACAACGCAAATGGGTTCTCTCAATTGAGAGTGAGAGAGGAACCGATCAATAAGAATATCCAAAACCCATTTGCGAGCACGAGAGTAGGATCTGACCCGGGAAGGATGGAGGATTTGGGAAGTGAGATTACGGCGGAGGAGGCGCCAGAGTGGGCCATAAGAGGCGGTGTTGATATTATGCTGGTTGCTGGAGGCGATCTTGCTGATGGGAAGTGCAGGTGGACGGTCGGCGAAGAGAGCGCCGTTTAGGACAAGGGCGTTGTGGGCGATGGAGCGGTCGGCGATGAAGACGGTGGGGCGAGTGCCGATGGGGAGGGTGATGATGGGGCCGTATTTGGCGACGAGGGTGCGGAGAAGAGACTCGATTTGAAGAGGGGATCTGCGGAGCCATTGGAGATTGGTGAAGATGGGGATGGAAGGAGGGCCTGGTGGGAGATTGGTGGAGCTTCGGAAGTGGGAAAAAATGGAGTTCAGAAGGGAACAGAAACAGAGCGAAATGATGATGATGAACCACGTCTCCATGATTCTCTCTGTTTTTGCTCTGCTTTTTTTCCCTTTTAATCCCTAATATATAATTGTTTCTGTGTCATCAACGGCCCATCCCACGTTTCCTTTTCACGTTTTGTTTCTTTTTATTAAATTAATACAAAAAAATCAAGTATATATATACACATATACATACATATATATATATATATATATAGAATATATATCATCGAAATCCTTATCAACTTCCTCTTCAATATCGGTGTTAGTTTCGTTCTTCGTAAGATTGTTAACGATGTCGTCCACAAAGTTGTCTATAGGTTAGTTCATTGTGTTCATGGATTTTGTTTTGTTTTATTCGTTACCATTTTTTTTCTATTCTTTTTCGAATTTTAGTCAAACTTATACTTTTCATTTCTGATATTAAGAAAATTACCATGGACTTCAATGTCTACATCTTTCTCACACTCGTGGTCATTACTTGTTGTCATTACTAATGACATGGAAGGAGAGCAAATTTTTTTTTTTTTTTTTTTTTT